CCTGGCATTTGAAATGAGGTTAGCGAAAGAAAAACCAGCACCCATAATCCATAGGACTTTCTGCAAATTAGTAATATGTCCTCATCACAGGAGATTCGCAGAAAACCAGCTGTTCTTCTCAAATTTTTTATTCTCCCCAAGGCTTTGTTTGGGAGTAATTCTTTTCTAAGACTGACAACGCAGCATATGTCAAAACAAATTACATTGATAAAGCTCAGTTCAAAGATGGAACCAAAAATCTGTGTTCTTTGCCCTTTATTTGACATTGTGGGTGCGTAATTAAAATTAAACAAAAATCAAGGGGCCCTTACATTCATACTTTATAATATTTTCATATTTGGATTGAAGACTACAGAAAGACACGTATCTCTATTCACCTGCTATTAGCAAGACTGCAAACTCTGGAGGTTGACATGGAAGGTAAAACTGCTCATCCAGGTGCCAATTTCACAACTGTCTTGGTGAGAATTGTGCTTTTGTGTGTCTTACCTTAATCGCACTTTAGAGATTAGAAATGGCCAACCTTTACTGCTTTGGAAGTTCTCCAAAGAAAATATTAAAAGCTTGGAAAAGCTTTTCCATCTTCTTCTGATTCATGGGTTGTTGTTTTTTTATAACGTACTTCAAAACAAAAGTGCGAACTTCTGAAAACATGCCTGACCTTTCCATGGAATAAGAAGTCATCGCCTTGCTCCAAGGGCTTATTCCAACTACCGACAGGATGCAGTAAATGATGGGTGGTGAAATGGAAACTACAGTAAAAACACTTTGTTGCACAACTATTAGATTCGGTCTGTTAATGAACTGTTTGCATGAAAAGCTATATCCATGTCCCTCCACCTTTGCCTCAAATCTAATTGTGATTTTAGCCGCATCAGTGAATATCTCTGCAAACAGCTTTTGTAATCTTCGTGTTATGGAATGTATTCCAATAGCTTAGAAAATAATCGAATTTTAACTTCTACAATGAAAGGAAAGCTTTTTTTTTTTTCCTTTTCTTCTCCTTGCTTCTTGCACATCTTTCCAATGAAGGGAGGAGGAATGTTAAGATTTACATAGATGACTGAGAAGAAGTTGCTTGGCTTAGCTTGGCAGAGGATAGAAACAAGGAAAGGCAGAAAGGAAAGAATGAATGTTTTTACTGCATTGTAAACTGCTTGGATGGATGGATGGGTGGGTGGGTGGAAGGAAGGGAAGGAAGAAAGAAAGGAAGTTTTATAAGAGGATAGAAGATTAGAAGAAGGCCAACCTCTACTGTGTCATTTGGGGAAAGAAGTGATGGTAGTCAGAAAAGAAGGCCTGTTCTTTTATTTCCCTTGAAATACATGTTTGTAACTTAGCAACCTGTGAAAAAACATAACAATTGCTAATTGAGATAGACCAAGCTGTGGTTGAAAGACGGAAAAAGGGTAGCTGATAGATTGAAAGGTTGGTAATCGGATTATCAGAGTCGAGTAACTTGGCACCCCAAGTTTTTTTTCTAAATAGTGAAATAGTCTAATTAAATAAAAGCCATGCTACATTTGAAATATAAGCTAAAATGCTCTGCTTCTTGCATGCTTGAGTGTAGTTGAGTGTAATTTGGAGCTTGGAAAGTTGAAATGGCTGTCTCAGTTCAAAACAGTTTACCTTCTGTACCGTGTGTGTGTGTGTGTGTGTGTGTGTGTGTGTGTGTATGTGTGTGTGTGTGTGTCAAATTCACATTGTCATGGTGGCATTACGTAATGCATTGGGACTTTTTCCCCCTCCGCTAAACTGGGCGTGGGTGTGGCCAACATGTGACACATACAGCCTGCGGGCCATGAGTTTGACAGCCCTGCTCTGTAGGAACATGGGCCTTGCAATACAATACAGATAGTCTTTGACTTACTGTTCTACCCTAGGTTTTACAAAATCATGAAGCAGACCCCTCATCTCGACAAAGCCCCTTTTTAATTAGGCTTCCTATCATTCACATCCAGCAAAGTCCCGGCAGTCTTTCAAGAGTGATTTATAACCATAGGCCTTATCAGGCTTGGAGAGTTGCCAGGTCGATAGCTTCCACGCACCACGTTGTACCAGGAAATACTTGGCAAAGAGTCATGAACAAATCTTCACCCTAATTAAATGAACTAATTGTCTCCTGCAAACCCCACTTCCCTTTCACTCTTCTTTATTCCCTCTGGAAGGGGCTATTCACCATCCACCTGTGCCTTTACTCCCAAGTCAATCCTTGTTTCTTAACTGTCCCCTTCTCCTGGCAGCTCTGCTCATGCACACATTGGGAACAGGCTCCAGCTATTCTTTTGCCCCACTGATCTCCAATTCCGAAGGCAGCTGGTCCTATCTCTGCCTCCGATGCAGAGCACTTGTCAGATCCTTCCCCAGACCCCAGAACTGGCCCATGTTCCTCCGCCAACCTCCTCACTGTCCAAGTCTGCTGCCAGCTCCACTGGCTGCTGGCGGGCTACAACCCAATTCACTTATAAGCACAATTCCATCAGTAAAAGGGTGAATATTTTTCACCTCCTCTTTCTTCTGCAATCATTCTGAGCATCAGAGGTGGTCTTGATGGGAAAGATCAGTGAGACACTTTATGGCATAAACAAACACTGCTTAGGGATATCACAAAGTCTTTGAGAACATGTGGTATCCTTTGGTTGTTTTTATGCAAAAGGAATTAAGCATCTTCACCCCTCACACCCTGTTAATGATTTGCTAGAAGCAAGGTTATGGCACTGCTATGTTTAAAGACAGTTGTGCTATTTTTAATTAGTTCATATTTACAACATGGTTGCTTTTCCTTTAAAAACAGGACTTTTCCCAAAGTTTTTCTCAGTCATCTCTTATCTTGCATCTACAAATAGCCTCTCTTCCTGTATATGAGATATGCATTTGTTTTCTTTCCAATATGTTCACCCAGAGTTTATTTCTTGCAGGATATAAAAAAAAAAAAAAACCCACCACACACACAAAGTCGCATTATGAGAGATTATTTGTCTTTAAGTTAAACATTCATCAAAAATAGTTCAACTTAAGTTCAATCCCTTCTTCTGACATTATAGGTCAGTATAGCTACTGTTATTTCAGTTAAACAGTTAGTGATTGTATAAAAGAAAATGTTTTATTCAGACAGGACTGATTACATGTACATGAGTAACAAGTATTTCCTAGTTTGAAGGTACTCAGAAAGTGAAGAGGAAAAACAAAGGATCTGTGTGTGCATTATACAGACACACTCTTAACGACAGCTATGATTCCAACCGTTAAAAACCTTTAAGACAAAAACAAGGCTTGTAGCTTTGAAATAAAAGCACTGAAAATGTTCAGATGAAACTCCAAAGCATTGGGAAAATACAGAATATCATAGAGACTGGTGATAGAGTTCCCATTTTCACTTTTCTTAAGCAAAATAAAGATAGGAAGTTCCTTTTATCACCAATGTTATTTCTCTTGATGTAATTTGGATCTTTGGTGTTTTGTTTTGTTGTTTTTTGTTTTTGCTCTTGTGGTCAAGAGTTGAGATTAAAATCAGACTTGGAGAAAAAACTTACTTACTTACTTCCTTCCCTTCCTTCCTTCCTTCCTTCCTTCCTTCCTTCCTTCCTTCCTTCCTTTCCTTCCTTCCTTCCTTCCTCCCTCCCTCCCTCAATTCTAAGCAACTTACAGTGCAGTAAAAACATCCATAAAACCCTACATCTTCTTTTAACAACACTTTAATTTGCAAAATTAAACACTTGTTCATTCCTCAGGAGGCCAAAAATGAGACAAAAGTTTAAATAACTACACTGAATTGGTTTTTAGCAGTAACTCAGCATAGATTATATATTTATTAAAATTCAGAAGAATTACTTTCTTGTACAAGTTTCTTTCTTTTCTTCTTCTTCCTCCTCCTCCTTTTTGGTACTTCTGCATAAACAAGAGTTTTAATCTTTTTTAACAGCTACTTTAGAGAAAACAATCAAAATGCTTTATACTGAAAAACTGATGTCTTAGGCTAGCCGCAGTTATAACTTAATCATTCCTTTTCCTATTTAAAAGTTTTCCCATAGTTCTCTATGTTTAATACTTTCCCCTCAAATTACAAAGCAGAAGGATAGCTCCCCAAATTATTCTTTTAAAAAATAAATTACCACCAGTACTTATGCTGTCAAGACTGCCATTGCTACCTATTGTCTTTGTAATGGAATTTTCTGAGGGAGATTCTTTTAAAAAGCAAAAAAACCCAACAACCTCCTATCTGAACTTGTTGCCAAGAAAAATAGGGAAGAAACATCGAAGTTATTTTCAGATGAACTATGCTGTAGTTTTCTTGATGCACAAACATTGTTTAATTGTAGAAATTATTATGAGGTGATGAAAAACAAGAGTTTGTATTCAGAAAAACTGAAGGCTTGGTAGTATCTATACCAAGTGAAATTCCTGATTTCAATATTCTGAAAACAGCTTTGGAATGAATATGTGGAGGGCAAGGGGAGACCAAAAATTTCACATCTCTAAGATGTCTGTTGGAGTGGAGATTATCTCTTCAGAAATGGGCAGTTAAATGGGCTGTTGTTGAAGGAGATAGTTGACTCTGGATAAACACACAGAATAATTTGAACATAAATCATAAGTGGTCCATATAAAATATGTATCATAGCAAGAAACGTTTCATTGTCCGTATAGACAGTGCACAGGCTAAAATGAGATAATTGGGAACTTACCCATAAAGTCAGCCTTAAATATATTATCACAAATATATGTGAGATAATATTAGTTTTAAAAAGATTCTATGGCACTGTAAACTCAGTCTCATTAGAAGCTGCATTTAAAAGGCTAATAAAGTTACTCATTAATGCTATCTGGTTGTATCTCCACTGCTTTTTCATTAAAGAAAATTCAGCAGAAAGCATTTTCTTCTGATAGCAGGAACCAATTTGCAATAAATGTTCTGGAAATCACTAGGGAAGCCATTACTGAGGTCTAATAAAAACAGACAAGCGTAACTTGTTCTATATTTTTGTTTCAATCACATACAGATGAGACCCCGCTCTCCACACCAACCACAAGAGACAGCCTTGACAAACTTTCGCTAACTGGCCACGGACAACCTCTTCCTCCTGGATTCCCATCTCCTTTTCTATTTCCTGATGGATTGTCCTCCATAGAAACCCTCCTGACGAATATCCAGGTAGGACACCATAGAACAAGGGAGAAAAAAGGTGCTGGAACTTTGACTTCAACTAACATTTCATTCATTTGAACTATTAAAGGCAGCAACGTAATCAAATGAGTTTTAAGAATCCACTTTTTTTTTCTTTTTTACAACTCTTTAATCCCATTATTCGGGGTGGAGTCAGGGTGATGGAATGTTGCTGAGCATTTACTGGCCGATCACCTTTCCTGATGCCTACACGGAGTTCACAGTAGATATTTTCTCTATGCACCCTGATAAAGAAACATCTGTCGCTGCCTAGGATTGAATTCTCATCCTTCTGAGTGAGAGTTGAGCATCTTCACCTCTAGGCACTGCACTAAAAACCCGCCTGAATGCCACATATAAAAGAGGCTTCACAAGTGAATGTGCTGCTGATGTTGCAAGTGGTGGGAGATTCTTCTCTGTTAAACAATAAACGTTCACAGGAATCATTCTGACTTCATTGAGGGCACTCAATTGACTGAGCCTTTTGGAATGAAAAGTTTCAGATGGCATTGATTGACCTGCAGAAAATATGCCTTTAATACAAAAGTCACTTTAGGAATTTGTGTTTAAACAAATGCATTTGAGAATAGAATAGAATAGAATAGAATAGAATAGAATAGAATAGAATAG